ATATCCGCGTTGTCAGTAGATGACTGGATAAAATATAGTAGACAGGATCTAATAACTGTTGGCAAAATTTATAGAACTTCCAGTCAGTAATCCCTAATGTCGAGGATTTTGAAGCCCACCTTTCTGAACTACAGATGGGGCGATCTTACATTTTTAAGTAACTGTGATACGGTCTTTTACGAGGTGTGCATATAGTTTTATGTGTAGTAAATTCAAGGCCTTTTGCGGACTACCATTATTTTGGCTTTCATCGCATTGCTTGAACAACCTCATGCGAAGGGATAGCTTGATGATTCCAATTCTATATCTCGTGCCGATATATGGTAGAAGTGGATCCGTATCATCTCTCTGAACATCGAACGTTTTTCTTGGCCATCCTCAATTTACTGTGACAGGTTCTGAGTTTAATATACACTAAAATTACTCTACTCACCCATACATTCTCCGTCTACAAAAAGAAAATTATCATGTTATTAGTAAGTGCCCTTCAACAAGCGGAAATACATGCATTCAGTGGATTTCAGGCTTTCAACCATTACAGACCGCTGAGATAATCCAGTAGGATAGGGTTTTGAACAGCTGTTACTAGGTTCCTTATGAGGGTTTACGGTTGATCTGAACATCGACTGACCATAGTTAGGTACCCCTCAGAAATGGGACCGTACATATGAATAACCTTCCACGGCTCTCTGTAAGTCTACGGATACAGCGTCCACAAGAAGCGATAGCCATTTGGACTCTGTTTGGAGATCTTCACTGCGAAATTTAGGACGACGAAGATTGTTCGAAACTCAGCCTTTCCATATCCCTTTGTCAAGCTGGAGCATATACACATACATACGTGTCAGTCTATATACTAAAGAATAAAATCAATATAGTCCGCGCAAGACCTCAGCTTGTTAGAACCGACTCCGGATATAAGGTTCATGTGATACCCTCATTTGATTACTTAGCGACAAAAGCACAAGCACTTTAGAACACAAACGTTCCTCCTGGTAGATTAGTCACCAATTTTTTCAGAGCTCTGATCATTTTCAGCAAGCTAATCTGAGCATGGTGGATAGTTCTAAAGGCTCTGGTTGCATTCATGTGGTATTGCGAGCCCAGAAAGGGGGTCAAGATTGAGCTTCTCATCCAGTTTGGCAACGTCATCACCAGAATCATCATCACCGTCATCAATGTTGGCAGTGAGGTTCAACTCTCGTACAACCAGAAGGCTAATTTATTTGCACACAAATTCTCATGGTGAGAGATATAAAGGGACAGTGGAGGAAACTGATGCCAAACTACCTTACTCTTCCCGAGGTGCTTACATCCCTAGAATGCCATGGAATACGATTGGGACAGAAATCAATCGCGTAGACGCTACTGGCAAGTGTTACCTGCCACTTCTTGTAGCGGCTCAGTCCGAGATCGGAGTAGGAAGGTAGATCTCGCTATCGATACCGAAACTCTCTTTTAATCTCTCGCCTTTTGTCAAGTTATTCGTTGTCAACGTCGAAACGTGTCATTCTGAAAACACCGCAAGTCGTGGTAGATTACCCATCATACCTATCGGCAAAATCTGATGGCACCAAATAGTTCAATGATGTTTAGTCATCCGTTTTGATGGTTTTCTCTTGTTCAGCCAGTAGAGCTTGCTCCACAGAAATAAGTATACTGATACCCATACATGAATAATATGCTCAGGAAATCAATCTTTCACTTCAT